TGAGACAAAGCCACCATCGAGTTCCGTTCCCGCTGCCAGATAGTCCTGTTTCTCCTCATATGAGTCTAGGTCCCCAGAGTTTCACCCAGAACTGGAGTTCAGAGGAATTGGGAGCTTGTGGCTTCCTCTGGATTGAAAGAGCCAGCTGTGTACTCAGTTGCCAGTCCTCTCCTTGCGTGGACCTCCATACCTCTTTACTTTACTTCTGCAGCTCCTCTGAGTCTCAGTGTGCTTTTCTCTTCCCTTCTAATTGTAGAATTTCTACTTAGCCACCCTTCCTGTGGTTCTGGATGATAACTATTTTGTCTTCTAGTTGTAGTTTTGAATTTTTATGTGAGGCAGCAAGTTCAGGTGTTTATCTATGTCGCCATTTTGGTTTCTCCACAGTGCATATTTCTTGCCCTTTTTACTTATGTTACCATTTTCCTTTTCATCCTCACCTGAAGATATCTTTTAATTAATTTTAGAGAGAGAGAGAGAAACATCAATGTGAGAGAGAAACATTGATCTGTTGCCTCTCATATGCGCCAGACAGCTATCGAACCCTTAATCCCTCCAACCGACTGAGCCACCCAGCAAGGGCCACCAGTATTCTATTGATAAACATTTACTTATCTTAGGTCTGTTTTTCTGCTAGTCATCTGTCCATCCGTCCATCTACCTGTCTACCCAATACACACATACTGATAGTATAAAATACAATGAAATAAACCCAAACAAATTAGTTCCCTGAAGGCAGTAGCATAGATAATGTTATGTTTCTACTTTAATAGGGTGACCAGGCAAAACCATTTTGAAGAGTTGACTTTTGAGCTGTGCCTAAAATTAGAAAAATGGTCTAGAAATCTAGAAAAGAGGATTCTGGGCAGAGGAGATACAAGAAATATAAACGTCCTGAGGGAAGAACAACGTGGTGAGTTCAGTGAACAGAAAAAAGTGCAGTGTGACTTAGAGCATGAGTAGTTTCTCTCATGTAAATACTGCTTTAATATATGTTAAGTGTTTTACACATTTTTCTAAATACTGTTAGGAGTGGAAATGAGGGGTCAAATAGTATCTTCAGTTTTAAATTTTGAGAGTTGAGGTACTTTCTTTTTTCTTTTTCTTTAAAAAAAATATATTTTATTGATTTTTTACACAGAAGAAGGGAGAGAGATAAAGAGCTAGAAACATCAATCAGAGAGAAACATTGACCAGCTGCCTCCTGCACACCCCCCACCGGGGATGTGCTGGCAACCAATGTGCATGCCCTTGACCGGAATCGAACCTGGGATCTTTCAGTCCGCAGACCGACACTCTCTCCACTGAGCCAAGCCGGTTTCTCCAGGGCCACTTTCATTTATATTCTTTCTCCCTGAACCTCTTCTTGCTTCCGCTGGCTCTGGGATACTTGGGTTGTCTGGAGCTTGGTAGGGAGGGAGTGGGCTGGGATGTGAGGTTTGGTGAGTGAAATTCTGGTGGGGAGAGATGTGACAGAGACTGTGATTGTTTCAGAGACTTTTGTCTATTAAGATGTAGATCCAGCAATAGAGCATATTCATATGTTGTACATGTTGAGTTTTGTGATAAAATATTTGCCTCTCTTTTGGCCTATTAATGAAATCATTTTAATGCAGAAATTGTCAACACTTCTCAATCTATGAAAACAAAATTTGGGTGGTGTTTTTTATAGTTAGATATGAGGCCGTATTACAAGTGATTCCTAATTCGGCACTATTGGATTCAGTTTATACAATATGTGATTAAAATAAAGAGGCATTAGAAAAAAAATGTCATTAATCAGAGTCAGCCAAAACCTTTGCTATAATGTGGCTTTCGTGGAGGAAAGTAGTACTGGCAACTCATATTTAAAATAAGTTTATAAAAATCCTGGGTATTGTTACATTGGGGAATGAAAGCCCTTTTCTGAATGCCTTAATATCAGAAAGACATTTCATTTTATAAGATAAATGTCAGAACCATCTATAATTTTTTAGTCAGGTTAGAAATTTTAGACTGGTTAAAGAACACAATTTGTTTCACTGGTATTTGACTGCTGAGTAAGATAGGAGAGACCAGTCACATTTGCATAGAGGGCTTGTTTAAAAATTTGCAATCTACGTTTTTTGATAAGGTGAAGTTATGAAATTTTTGGCAGGTTATAGTCAGATTCCCATGTACCTATAGAAATAAGGGAGTATGCAGCTTCCTTTATTATTTTTTCTTTCTCCTACATAACAAGACTCACTTCCTTTGAGAATTAAAAATAATTTGGAATGAGGTTAGAAATCTGTGATAGAGAAGATTTTAATTTAACAGATGCTAATAATATAGCATGTTCTATTGATGAAAATTTTTTTCTTTTTTAACATGGGTAATTTTTTTTCAGCACAACTTATAAATAAATTTCAGTGGGAAATCAGTTTTATTTTGCTACTTGTACCTGGTATACATTAATAATGGTAAGGTAATTAACTTATATTTTATCTGTGATCGGATCTCTAGTATAAAATCATCCCACTAGTTTAACGTGAATATGTAATTTTTGATCAAAACAACTTTTTGATATAAAATCTCTAAGGTGAGTTTAAGAAAACAAATTAGTATTTTATTAGCCTTAATTCTTTGTCCTGAAATGAATAGAAGTGTAAAAGATGTTGCATATTTACAAAAATCTTTTATTCCTATTACAGTATGTAGATACATAAGTTGTAATTAACTTGCTTAATTAGAACATCTAATTTTTGCTTGACATTATGCAAATATATGGTTAAATCTGTTTTTTAAGATTTTCCCAGTTTAATGTTAGAATCCAAATTCATAAAGAGTTGGAAAAATGAGATGTCTGAGCTATAGGATTCACAAGGATTTCATATGAAGCCTATTTAATCAGGATAACACTGTTATTAATATTCATAATGTCAGCTGGAACACAAATGACAGACTATGGGGCCTAAAAATTTTACTTGGCGAATTTATTAAAAGTATCTTAAAAAATTAATGGAATTTAAGTAAAGTTAGTGAATATGAAAATCTTGTGTTAGCACAAAAAAAATCTCTATTAGAACTTTCCTTGTGATAATTTTACATTGATGTCTTTTGACAGATTTCATTGGTACTTAAAGAAGAAAGATGCACGAATGGTCATTTAAGAGGATTTAAACACATTGGCACATTAATTTTTACATGAATAATAAGTACTTTCCAAAAGCAATTAACTTACAGTGTACAGGATATGAATTGAAAAATAAGACTGTGACATCAAGGGCAAGGCAAATGTGCTGTACATTTTAAACTTAGTGGTAGGACTTTTTAATATTTTGATTTATTTGTATAGTTCGCATAGGCTATGACTTAGAATATGGTTATTATAGTGCGTTTGAAAGCATATAAAGAAGGGCAATAATGCTCTTGTTTTACCCCTAAATATTGGTGGTGTTAAAACATCATTCTCTGCAAGTATCATTTACATTTATTGGAGACTTAAACATTGGCTGTATTATTGGTAATATTTGAGAATATGTTCAATTTTGCAGAAAGTCTTAGGGTGATTCTGATTTGGATTTAGTGCTTCAAATACATTTGTTAACACAGACTTATTGATTATAACATAAATGTATAATAAAAACTTCTTGAATTTCAGAGTGAGAAGTTTAGTTAAGAACCATCTGAGTTGGGTACAAGTAAATTTGTTCTGTATTTTAGCCTGAGAAAGTAAAAAGTTAGGGATGGCTTAAGTAAAACTGAGATGTATTTTATTTTTTAAACTACCTATTATTTATGTTTTTTTAATATGCTTATAATGACATTATGCCAGTGTTATAGTTTTTTATTTTTTTAATTTAAGTTCATTAAAATTCATTTTAGATTATTATGTATAGTCAGAATAATGAATATTTTGTTTAATACTTTCCAGAGATTTTTTTTGTGAGTGAATTTTAGTATTTATAAAAGCATCGTTATTTCCTGTAACAGTCCACTTAGGGTTCACCTGTAAGAGGATATAGTCATTGGCCTGGCAGTCCAGATGGGTACTAGAAGTTTACTTGCAATCTGTCAAAGTTACAATGAATGATTTAGTTTCACTAGACATGTAGGTGTAGCCTAGTATGTTTGGGAACTCACATTCAGAGTTTGATTGGAAAAAGCATTGATTACCAGGGTGTGTAGAATTTACCACAATATAATGCATACATTAAAATTTTTGTATAAAGTGTAAAATCAAATTGCTATATTGGCTATTATGATTTTTTTTCTAGTGGCTTTTTAAAAGTTAGTTTTTAGATGGGGATGGTTTTGTTTTTAGATCTGACATGTTCATTTATATGCCCAGCAGAGGGCAGCATTTTACTATGTGAGCATCACGAAAGAATTAGTCCTGCTTAGACTGTCAATGTTTCTTGTAATTACTCCCAGTATATTTGTTGCTTGCTTATGAATTAACTTGCATTTATGGAACTAAATCATTCCAATCATTTAATTACACCTGAGGAGCTGAACTATAATTGCTTGCTTCCAACTAGGATCTGATATGGCTTGAGCAGTATTAATTTGGTGTTTACTTTTCTGAGTGCTAAAAGCATTAAAATGATTGTGCAATGGGATTACATTTTACTAATTGCTGGCATTCATTAACTGGGAAAATGATGAGGAAGAGTGACTGTATATTACAGAGGGATAAAATTATGGTTTTAAATAGTATATTACTAAGCACATTAAGGCCTGTAAGACATGTTTTAAAATACTCCAGAGGTTATTAAAGACTGTATTTTCTACATGTCTTGCTATATGAATCTCTTATTAAAAGACTGCAATTATTATTAACCTTTTTGGGCAATATGTAGGGAAATGGCTTCATTGACTGGAACATATTTCTTTGATATTAATAACTTCCTATATTTTCAGCTAATCCAAAAGTAAATGAGGAACTTAGAAAAAGATTGCCAACTCCAGATCAACATATTAGAGAAAATTGGAAAAAGAGAAGCTTACTCCAGCTTTATTTGAGGACTTTTTAAAGAATGCAGAGTTCTAGCTGTGAGGTAAATCTAATTTTATTCTCCTTACTAGCATGCACACAAAAAACTTGTAGAGCTTTTGTCATGTTTATTATGAAATCAAGTTTAAGAGCAAAATACGAATAATTCCACAAATTAATGATAGTCTTTATGTGTTTTTTAATTGGAAAAACATTTTTAAGTGACTTTTACAAGTAGAACATATTTTATATGAAAATATATTTTGTAAATTGAAATAAATAAATTTGAAATTTTTGGTATAAAGTTTATGAAAAATAGACTAGAAATTTTATTCTTGTTAAATAGTTGAAGTTATATTTGGAAAAAACTAAATAAATAATTTTCTAACCAAAGGAGCAAGAATATCTAAAAGCTTAACCTGAACTGTATTTACTAAAATATAAGTGTAAAAGAAAGAACCTATTTCTGAGAAAAATGATTTAATTTCATCTGTTGAATGTACTGTTAATTATCCCATTACAAATGTTTTAGAAAATCATTTATCCTATAAATTCTCTGTTAAACAAAGGGAAGGCTTAAGTGTGTTCTGATATATTGTTTTAAGTTTATTTATCTAGAGGTGGCTTTATTTTAGCTTCAAATACTGGAGCAAAAACCAGAGACATTGCCAGAGCAAACAAGAACAGAAGTACAAATGGAGAACTGGTCAAAAGGTAAGGACTTTTAAGGTATTAATACCAAACCCCAGGTGTTGTGCTAGTTCAAGGCACTGAATGAAGTGTGTTTGTTTTAACCAGTTAGACAGAGGCAGACAAGTACACACACACATGCACCCCCACACACACAAAGGAGGAGGCACACATAAAGAGACCCACATACTGCAAAAGGGACACAAAGACTGACACACAAAGACAGGTACATGCAGAGGAAGAGACACATACAGAGGAAGAGCTATTGAGAGAAAAAGGGCCAGACACAAGGGAGAGAAAGAAACATAGATACACAAGTCATGAAGACTGAGAGAATAACTGGGAGAGGAATGCATAAAGAGAGGGACACTCAAAGAAACACACACAAGCAGAAGAGATACATAACAGTAAGGGAGAACCTACACTCAAGCAGCGAGACACAGAGAAAGACTTGTGTATAGATATACATATGAAGACATAGGCACACCTGGGCTCAGAGTAATCACAGTAAGAGAAATACAGTGAAAAAGAGAGACATAAAATAGACAGAGAGAGAGCGAGAGAGAGAGAGAGAGGGGTGGGGGGGGGGGGACACTGAGAGAGATAGAGGCATAGGCATACACACAGACACACCTAAGAGAGATGGTGTCAGAGGGGGCCAGAGAGAGTCTGAGCAACAGAGATGTGCCGATGGAGACAGAGAAAGACACCCCAAGACAGCGACAGAGAGAGGAGAGAAAGATACACACATCTGTATAAGCAGAGGGACAGAACAGGCAGGATAGAAACACAATTTGAAAGACATACTGAGAGATGGCCTAATAAAGAGAGATAAAGAGATAAAATGGGCACATCTGACTATCAATAGAGCCATAAAGAGGGAAGTTTAAAAAAAAAGTTAGATTTTTAATTGAAGTCTCTTACAGTAAAATGTTGCAAATCTGGAATTCTTGAGAAATGGACCATTATGACTATAGTATCACATATAACTGAAAGCTTAAATATTATTTCCATCGTTTTTATTTTCTCTAACAATTTTGTAATTTAAAAATAAGATTATTACCAGCACAGTACACATTTTTCTCTTCCTTTTTGGATTCCTCTTCCCCAACAGGACGCCTTTTTTACCATGTGTGAACTTACCTTTTTCAGAAGGTTGAAGGCCATTTGGGGTGATGGTTCTATCACCATTTTACTAAATAAGTTAATAGCTACACAGTTATTTTCAGGAATAGAATGGTCTGTGCTTTCTGAGTCTCCCTTTTCCTAACTTCTGCATTTGTTTTTTCTTACATACTGTTATAAATTTTCCTGTGGTTTCTGCCTACCATTAGCAACTTTTCTCTTATTTGTGATTTTAGGCTGCTTGTTAAGAGTTTAGAATCCAGGTAACTGAATTAAGCATAAAGTCATATCAAATAGGATAGTTTAGAATCCAGATAACTGAATTGAGCATAAAGTCATATCAAATAGGATAGTTAAAGGTTTTCAATATAAAGTTTAAATGTTTTAGTGTATTAACTTTGTGACAATTTTGATCTACTCTTTTTATGTAAGTTTGTGTTAATGCTACATAGATCTGGATCTGGAAACTAATGTTTTATAGGTGTTTTTATTCATTTATGCAAATAAACAAGCAAACAGCCCTCTTTTAAAGAGCTCAAAGCAATTTTGATTTATGTACAAAATAAGAAAAGAGGAAGTAAATAAATAACGATGGACCCTGTTTCTTATATTTTCTATTCAGAGGTCACATTTCTGTGAAAAGTATGTTGTGTAAGTTATAGACAAACAAATCTTTAAGCCAAAGGAATTCTATTTAATATATAAAAAGAGCTGGAAGCTATGTAGGAAATTCTTCTCTTAAATGTGGTATGGTCAGAGTGGCTCAGTGGTTGCGTTGACCTATGAACCAGGACACATGCTCGGGTTGCGGGCTTGATCCCCAGTGTGGGGCATGCAGGAGGCAGACAATCGATTATTCTCTCTCATCATTGATGTTTCTATCTCTCTATCCCATCCCTTCCTCTCTGAAATCAATAATAATAAATGTGGAACAAGCAAGAAAGATGCAGAGGAATGGAGCTGCTGAAGTTCTAGGATGCTCATGAAAAGGAAGGTTTTCAGGCTAAAGACATGGCTGAGTAATTTGCAGGAAACAGACAACAACAGTTGTGACTAAAACAGTATTAAGAAAATTTCCATTTTTACAAGCATGCTTTTGACATTGGAAATAGTAATTAGACAATCCTATTAAAAAACATTATTAAGAAATAAAATTAAACAGGTAAACATAATATATTTTAAGTTTAGTGATAACTGATATATTTAAACCAGTGAAGTCTACATAGTCATTTCTTTGATATCATAGTTCATGGAATTTATCATAAAGCATAGATTACTTTAAAACTCTCGTACAAAAATGTTCATAGTATACTCTCAAATACTAGTAGTTACTTCATTTAATGTTATTTTACTTATTTTTTTTAAATTGAGCTAATTAACAACTTGAATTATGCAGATTTACTTTTGTGTCATTTTGCAGATTCATTATAAGAAGTGCTAATGTGGTTATTCTTTTCCTAGCTTTTGCTGAATATTTAAGTCAAAGAATGTATGAAATATACAATATTAATAGGTATAACTATTCACATTTTTCTTTGCATTATAGGTAGTTTGGAAAATGTAAAGCTAAGGTTTGTAGGTGGAAGGGGTGATGACATCTACAAAATGTTATTTATATTACAAATTTTATATTTTATATATTTTATATTTAGAATATAATTTTAATATATTTTATATTTAGAATATTTATTTAGATATAATGTTATTTATATTATAAAATAATATATATATAAAATTTTCTGGATCTGGAAACTAATGTTTTATAGGTGTTTTTATTCATTTATAAATATTTATATTTAGATTACTTATTTTTATTTATATTTGTTTTTTTATTTTTATTTTCCATATTCTATAGAGTGGTTAAAAGTGGTTCTTTAAGTATCGAATAGTTAAAAGATCAAACCTGAATGAAAGAAATTTTCAGCTGATGGAAGCAATACGTGAGGGAATAAATGTGTGTTGCCCAGTGAGCAGTAACATCTTCTGGCTTCTTAAGAAGTAAATGGTGTTTTACCCTTTCACAAACTTCTTTTTTCAAGATACCTTTTTTTTTTCTGCTTTTTTAAGAAACACACACACACACACACACACACACACACAAAAGATCAAAATCAAGGTATGTATGTAAAGTCAGCCTTTAGAAAGAATGATTTGTTATGTCATTGGTTAACTCATTTTAACATTTACTTATTACTTAACTGTATAAGAAAAAAGACATGGTGTCAAAATCTCCTATGAGTAATTAATTGGAAAAGTATAAAAAATTTCTAGATATTTTTTATATTCAATTTTGGTGGTTTTTATTAAATTAGCAGAAACATAATTTAATTGTTTTGTAATATACACTCCATTAGAAATAGCTTTCATATTATTTATGAATAAGTGTGTATGTCATATCTATACATACCTACACTAATATAGGTAAAAATGAGGTCTGGGTGCCTGTTAAATTTAGAATATTGTAAAACATATTTAAGTTTAGAACCTTTAGGGGTCAGTGTTCCCTAAGAAAGATTAAAAAAGATTACTGTGCCTACTCAAATTAAATATTAAGTCTGCTTTATTTTAAATATTTCTTACCAATTGAAGGTAAGAATCACAGAGCTTGAGGAAGCTTTAGACAAACACCTTTCAATGTTATGGTTTCTTCAATATTATTTTCAGTTTTATTATTTTAGGAAATTATATTTAATGTATATTTATGTACAGAGTGTGTGTTTTTTCATTTAGGTTTTATCTCAATTTAAATATGAATTGTTTTAAAACCATTTTCTGTTAACCTTAAAAAGTAAGCATGATTCTAAATCATTATACTCATCTGAAATTTGAGATGAAAAAGTACTTCTGGAATTGCTTACGTTAATTGAATCTTTACATGTAGTTTATTGGAGGCTAGCAAATATTTTAAAAATCTTTTGCTGAATTTCAGTGAAAAGCAGATGTCCTCTTTATTTTTGAATTGAATTAGCTTTTACCTCTTGTATCCATGATTCTTGTGGTTTTTCTATCAAACCTAGCCAAAGCTAACTTGTAAGTGGTTTATTAGTTTCTAGTCAGAATACTACTTACTTTTCTTTGGCATTTGGAACCTGTGTGCCACCATCAATCTCTCTGATTATTGGTTCATTTATCTTTCTGTCTTTTCACAAAGTATATATTCTTCTTACCTTCTGTCCATCTGTTGTTCTGTAATTGAATTATACCTAAAACTATTGCATGACTTACAAGCATTTTATAAAAGTAGACATCTATAGAAAAACATCTACGATGTGTCTTTGATCATTGTAACTAAAATATGATTGTAGAATCTCATATCATTTAAATAAATTATTTTCTTTTAAAGCAGACAGGAAGGAAATAGCAAATTGCATAGAATGGACTTCCATTTCTACCAACAAAGTTGTTGGTAGAAAAAAAATGATTTCCTAAGCATTGAGAAATTCTAGGTTCAGAAATATCTAGATCATTAATCATTTTGTGTTAAGTAATAGGACTTGAATTGTCTTTAATAATTGGTCTTTTAGTAAGTAATGGTGTATTTTCCTTAAATGAGTAATGTAATTTGCTTTTGTTTGTTTTAAAGTACAAGATAAATTGCCACTGGAGAACCAATACATTTAATAATGTCACTAAAAAGTTATGGAAGAAAGAACGCAGGTTTGGAGCTAGATAGACCCCTGTTTCAATTTTATTAATACTTCACTTCTTATGTTAGTTACCTGGACTTGAGTGCAAGTTTCATAATTATTTTGGAGCCTGAGTTTTCTTTTTTATGGAAGAGGAGATAATCTCTTTAGGACTGTTTTTGAGAGTAAGGGATTGTGTATGAAAGTCCTACTACAATACCTGAAACAGGAAATGAGTTTATTTAATATGTATTTCATATACCAGAGTGATTA